GAGGGCCCCAAAGTCGGGGCTGGCCTGGCCGGCGGGGACAGGGGAAGTGCTACGGTTGGGACGCCCGACGGCTCCCGTCTTGGGACTCCGCTGTGTCGGAGGTGTTCAGTGCACACTCCACCCCTTCCTGGTGGCGCAGGTGGGGCCCTGGGTGTGACAATGTCACTGGGGATGGGGGCGAGACTGAGTTCCCTGGGTTAGAAGACGGGAGAGGAGGCCAGGGCTGCAGCTCAACGCTAGGTCCTGCCTGGGTGGCGGTCTCCGGCCGGGCTGCCCCAGCTGTGAGCTGAGATGCCTCATTTTTAGCTAAAGCCCCGGGCTCAGGTATTTCCAATAGCCACACAGCCCCAGGGGGAGCCGGGGAGGTCCAGGTGGGTGCCCGGGACCTCCCTGGGGCCCACGACGTGGGCCTGGGTAAAGCCGGGGGTGGATCCCAGCTTCCAGACCCTGCTGGTGGCGTGCTCGCTCCCTCTTGGAAGAAATGAAAACAATAATAGAAAGGTCCAGCAGATGGCACGCAGGTTAGGGTGGCGGGATCCCACATGGCCCACCGTGGTTCGAGCCCTGGACCCAGCGGCTTGGAAAGCACGCCGGATGTGTGGGTGTGGAGGAGTGCTCCAAATCCCCAGAGAACAGAGAACGGAGGAGACAGGGTGTGGGTGGTGTGGCATTCCTCACCCCGCCCCAACCCCCTCCGGAGGGCGCGCCCCCTGGGGCAGAACTGAGAAACCACGAAGGGGGCGGGGCTCTTCTCCAAGCACCCCGTGCGCTCCGGCCTCCGCGCCCTTCGGGGGACCCCTGCCCTCAGAGCACCAGCTCCCTCTGTACCCTCCAGGACACCGAGGCTGTTCTCGGGCTGCACCCCTCTCCCAGCCCCGCCTGGCGCACCCTGCCGGCAGGGGCCAAAATCTCAGCGGGAGAGTCCTTGGCACCTCCATATCTGCTGCCCCCTGCTCACCTGGCTCCGAGAGGGTTCTGGAATCCACGGACCTCTCCCGCCGAAGTGGAGGGCTCTCCCTGCGGGGACGAGATTCAAGGTGAGTCGATGTCCCAGGGCCGAGGGAAAGAACTCGGAGGGCCAGCAGGAGGCGGCACAGTAAGGAAGGCCGGATCCCAGCCGGCGCTCCGGACACCTCAGCCGAACACAGACGGGGTGGCACATGGCGTGGAGTCGGGGTGCTGGACTCCCACGTGGCCGGCCGTGGTTCGAGTCGCGTGCTGGGTGGCTTGTTCCCTCTTCCCGTGTCTCTCGGGTGAGCTCGTGTGCCCTTCAGCAAATTGAAAAATGACTGAGGCCATGGGGTCGGCGGGTGGCATGGTGGTTGAGGACGCTGGATCCCCACATGGCCGACCGTGGTTCAAGTCCCGGACCTGGCGGCTTGTTTTCTTACTTTCCCTCTCTCTCTCTCTCTTTGTCTCTCTTTGGTCAAATTATTAAAAAATGAATAAATAAATGGATAAATAAGTTAAGTAAAATAATTGTTTAAAAAAAGAAAAAGATTGGGACCAGCAGGTGGCGCGGTGGTTATGGCGCCGGATTCCCACAGGGCCGACCGCAGGTGGAGTCCCGGACCTGCTGGCTTGCTTCCTCACTCTCCCTCTCTTTCTGGTCAAGTTAATGATAATAATTTAAAGTTTTCAAAAATAATAGTAAATTAAATTAAATCATTCTTTTTTAAAGGAACGCATTGATGTAATTAATTACATTTGTTATTCTTTTTAAATTTGACAAGAGGAAGACAGAGAGAGAAAGGGAAAGTGAGAAAGCAAGTCACCAGGTCCAGGACTTGAACCGCGGTCGGCCATGTGGGAGTCCAGCGCCTTAACCACCGCGCCACCTGCTGGCCCCCAAATAATTCTTTTTAAAAAAGTTTTAAAGAAAGAAACACCAGGTGCCTGGACGTGGATGCCCGAAGTCCGGAGAGGAGGGAGAAGCGGAGGGCAGGAGGGAGAGGCGGGCGAGGGCCTGTGGCGTGAGCGTGCCCCACGTGTGTTCTCTCTCTCCCTCTGTCCCCGGCCTGGGTGCACAGGTCCTACTGACCTTGACCGTCACCTCCCAGCCTCCAGAAACAGTGCTGTGGAAGCCGCCCCTGGGGAGTGAGACAGGTGGCCTGCAAGCCCCGGGTGGCCGATGCCTGATGGGGTGTGGCTTCGGAACTGGGGGCCGGCAGTTCCGGGCTGAGACCTGCTGGAATCGGGCCTGTACCCGCACGGCCCCCCCGCGTGCCGGGGGACCTCACA